TGCACCCCAAAGTCCGAGTAAAGTTATAGTATCAGAATCCCCACACCGGAAAAGAACGTCACCGAGGAACAACCAGGGGCCTCTCCAGGTAATATCCCGATCCTGAAGATTGTAAAAACTTTCATCCACTTTTCCTTTGAAGCACCTTCATGCCATTTCATTGTGATGAACTTCCCTAAAGGTGAACATGTGGTGCTAAATCGGCGGTAGGCGACCCCGTTAATCTTCTAGAAATGGCTGTGAATCCAGGCTTGAAGGAGCTGAATACACCCAACAAGCCTACCTCCACCAGATCTTCGACAATGATTAAGAGACCGAAAGGTCTCGGCTAAGATGGTCGGTGCGGGGTTGATTCGTCTCGGAAGTTGTTCAAACAATTCTACCACGGCTGCGTTAATGCAACCCAATGCCTTCGGAAAGATAATCAACCCGTACAGACCTAGTGCAAAAAGGTCTATAGTCTTCCACTCATCAGGGTGGTTCTTCATTAATTGCCTTATGTGGATCCATTCAATTCCTTCCCCACTGCCTCTGCGCTGAGTCCGGTCAATTACCCATTTTTCGTCTACTCCCGCAACTTAGCCAGTCTATTCTTGAAAGGCTGACTCTTGATGTGTTTGATGTAGGCTCGCTTCAGTTTAATGCTTTCACAGTGCAATAGTGTAGTATACTCCTCGATGGTAGGTACCATGTCCTCTTGGTTAAAAGTAAAGCAACTATATCCCGGGTTCCAGAATTGAACCAAGGCTCTGATTAAGGGCTCAACGGTCTTAACATGAAGCAAAAGTGCAATGTCACCATACCGCTGACTAAACTTCTGTTTTCGATCATTCTTCCAACTGTCCTAGATGTCTCGAAGTTCTTGCACATTGTTCTGTTTTTGGCTGATAGAGGCATAGCTAACAAGCTCTGACACATAACTTCCTTGAAGACTGACTCCATTTTCTTTCTGAGTCTTCTCGGACCATAGTCGTACCTCGGGGTTTTTAATCTCCTGTATTACAACACAGTTGTCCATTAATGCAGATTATTTATGGTTAACGAACACGTTTTTTGGTGGATCAACACCTCTTTTGAATGATGCAGATGATGGAAATAAAATAAAAGAGAGGAAAAAAAATGAAAAGAGTTAGTAAGGTAAAGATAATAATCAAAGCAATCATGAAAATAAAAGTCCTATCCCACATGATATCTACCCCACATGCTTATTATTCCTACCCGGACATGATCTCTATCCCGCAAGTTGATTTTGAACAAGTCATAGCCGCATAAATTTCTAGTTCACATGTTTTGAACAGAAAGTAAAGTAGAAAATAATTTCGGCATCCTAGGGTTTAAAATGAGGTTTAAGGGTGGGCCCTAGTTCCTTGTAGTCTCCGGGTTTAGGTTCTAAAAAAAGGTACTCGAGTTCTCCTTGCCGGTGCCACCTTGGGCTTACCAGACCCTTAGTCCTAAACCCATCACAGGCTTGTGTGGACTAAGTTAAACTCGAGAGGAAACATTCCCTTATGCCCATACGGAGAATAAATTCACACGAAGGCATAAGGTATATGAATCCCGAAGGTTACTTGCTAGGCCCATACGATGAATAAATTCACACGAAGGCGTCGCTTTCACCCCCACTTAAAACGGGTTCGGAGCTCGGGTATAGAGCCTTTGGATGAAAAATCTTTAAGGGCTGAAATCATTAAAAAAACGGTCAGTACAACTATTTACTCGAAAATATAATCAAAAGTAAGTAATAAGGATCGAAATGTTACCTTAAAATTTAAACTTACCTTTTCATTAAAAAGACAACTGGAAATTACCTTAGACTGACTCACTTACCTGTGTCCCCAGCGGAGTCGTCAAGCTGTCGTAACTGTCTTTCGGTTGTGCCCCAGAATTGGGCTTCGACGTGAAAAATGTGGATTAGAGTCGCCACCGATCATTTATTTAAAACAAATGGGTTGATCGGATACCCTATTTTTTACCTGATCTGCGTCTTTCCAAAGATGTGTCGGGTTCGGGAGTCGGTTACGGTCAAGGAAGGATTAACACCATTGAACCGCCCTTTCGGTACTATGTAATTTCCAGTTGTCTTAAATTAAGAAAAATTGAAAGTTTAATTTAAAAGGTAACATGTGATCCAAATTATTTACCTCTGACGAATTTAAATTGTGCCTTTAAAAATCAAGTAAGATGTTAGATGGTAAATAAAAAATATCGAGTAAAAATTAATTAAAAATAATCTTTAATAAAAGAAAAGAAATAAAAATACTAATTGTCTAACCTAACAAATGAATTAATCAAATAACAAATTATTTGAATAATTCGAATCAATTTATTAATCAAACATTAAAAATAATTCCCTTAGTTACTATCTCTATTAAAACAATTAATGTTCTAATTAGTCAAATACCATGGTGATTAACGACCAAATTTACTCCAACTTAGTAAATTAGGATTCATGCAGCATCTAATTATGAATTTATGGTGATCTTTAATCATACTAATTATTGCCATATAAACCAAAGCTTAAGAAAAGGAATTCAACTACCATAACCAAGCAAAATGGAGGCCACGTCTTTTCAAATCAAACAAAGAAATAAAAGGCATCAAATCAGTTTATTAAGAAGTCAGATACATGGAATTCAATCACATTCAGCAAATTCAAGGATTAAAGGCATTAAGCCTTATATTACACGGAAACATGACTTAAATTAAGGCTAATTACGAGACCAAATTGAATTTATTCTAAACATGGAAGGAATTAACACATTGTTTCCCGAGACCAATTAAAACACTCGGTTTTACGAGCTTCACACGGGTCAGATGACGTTTAAATGGGTTTATTATAAACTTTTTTTTAAAAAAAAAATATATATAATTTCTCATTTCTCTTTTCAAACCCACGAGAGCTCTCCTCCTTTCTCTAGTTTCTCTCCTGGTTGTTCTTGACATTCAAGAATAAAGGGTAGTGCGCCGCCGCCTGAAAATGGTGGCCACCGTCTCGCCGCCGCTCATCAACAGTGATCCACCACGAAACCTATCTTTTTAAAGAGCATCTTTCTCACACAGTCCGAAAATCCAAGTGGTTTTTCAAAAATCAGCTCGAAGAAACGCAGATCTAAGAAATGAGTTTCGAAAAATAAAGGCCTCACTTCGTTCATCGGCCAAAACGTTTTTTCTTGTGATTTCGAAGCCAAATCTCAAGCAATATTCAACATGCAACAACAAGAAAACGAATGAAGGTAAAAAAAGAAGAAAAAAAATGCTACCTTTTTATTTCTTTTCAAGCTTGTTACAACAACTTTGAAATCACTGCCTATTTGCTCGTCTTCTTCTAGTATTTTTGCGTATAACCGGTGTGTAAACTTTCTCCTTATTTTCCCTCTATAATCCGAATGTTTGTCCCCTGTACTCCTTCTACAATGGGTGATTTTATACTGAAAAATAAACCTATTTTAGATTACATATTTGAGTCCTAATCACATTGATATTCTGTTGCTTGGTTGTGGATGAGTCCTAACACGTTGCTTTGCTTGTTGGCTTCGTGTTTGCCTAGAAAACTAGTGGCGTGCAGCATGAGGAGGTTGTACAGCACCAGGGGTCTTCGGGTGCGAGGGTTTCTGGAAACACAGTGTTGGAGCTGATGGACGAGTGGGCTAGGGTTTCTTCAGCACACGTGAGCTGTTGGGTCCACTGTTGGGCCATTGTTTGGTCCTTTGTAGTGGTCCTGCAAAAGAAAACAAAAATTAATAACATTATATATATATAACAGAAATCATGTGTCTACAGCTGTAAGTCTCCCTTTGTTCCTTGCGAAATTGAATGAAAGGAAAAAGGGTGGGTCTGTTTTTGGAGACCTGTGATGTTCGTTGAAGTATCTGTTTGAGGAGATTAAAAGGGGGCTTTTGGTCAAGTATCTGTTTTGGAAGTTAGATTCTGGCTGAGATTGGTGGGTTTTTAGAGACGATGATGTCCTTTGAGGAGACGTCGGTTTCGGGATCGGAGGCAGATGGTTGGACCAGAGGAGAGCCTGACAATCGTTGGACCGAGCCATCTTTGTTATTGCCTCTGATATTTTCAGTGAAACATAATATCAATTTGTTTTTTTAATTTAAAAAACATTTTTTATTTATTATCACATTATCATTAACACGCCAACGAAATTATTTTTATTGATGTCCATTTTAACATAAATTAACGGTTCGTTAAGGTGGCTCGGTTTATTACTATCCAAAGTGTACGCCTCATGAAAAAAGATAATCTCATTAATAAAAGAGAATATTATTCTCTTTAGAGAATTTGAGTTTCAATAACTATAAGTGTATGAGCTATCAATATCAAAAAAGGATTTTAAACATATATTACCTTAAAATAAATAAATAGCTTGCCCTATTCTCATGTAATGAGGTGAGGGGAGGTAAGGTAGTAGGCTGCCCCCAATGCTAGGTTGAGTGCAGCTTCCGTGGAAGACTTCCGACAGTCAGAATATTACCTTAAAATCATCTTAAATTGTTAAAACTAATTAATAATTAAAATTTTAAATGACATTTATATAAATTAATTATATGTATGAAGCTTAATGGTAACAAAATAAGTGTTAGTTCCTAACGTAGCAAAGGGTTTTTAAAGATTTGCTTGCCAAGAAGTGCACTAGGTTGTTGAGGATTGAACTATTTTATTTTTATTTGTTTGTTTACCATTTTCTTTATGTAAAGCAATATGTTTTAGCTATGCACTAAAGTTTCAAGTTTACCTAATTAAAAATCGGATCACAAAAATGCAGGATCGCTGCTCATTTGGAAGCATTGGAGTTTGATGTCTCCCTCGTCGCTACTGAGTGGTTCCTTTGCCTCTTTTCTAAAAGCTTGCCTTCTGAGGTTTGAACGATATATCATTACCATTTACTTCCGGCTAGCATCTCACTTCAAATCTCAAGTCTCTTCGAGATTGCTTCCGACTTCCTTTTTTTTTTGTATCTTTCTTGGGTTATTTGTCCAGACAACCCGCAGGGATGTCCTTTTCTATGAGGGGGCGAAGGTTCTATTTAATGTAGCTTCGGCTATATTTAAGGTACCAGTGTAATTGCCTCTTCACATTCCAATAAGTCGGGAACTTCGACGTATTGTCCTAAAATTCACTAAAGGTTTTGATCTGCTTTTGCAGATGAAGGAAGATGAGTTGCTTCTAACGCATCAGGTTGGTGATGTTATTAATATATTACAAAGAACTACCCATCACCTTTTCGATCCTGATGAGTTATTGGCGGTAAGACAGTTCGTCGTTTGTTTTTTTTTTTCCAATCTTCTTCTGGTCTTATAACTTTCCACGCTTCTTCCTCGTTATCCATGGACCCTGTTAAACATAATTCGGAAATCTATAATATACCCATGACATGGACCTTGTCATGTCTACAGGTTGCGTTTGATAAGATCGGTTTTATGACTACAAACACGATATCAAAACAAAGGAAAAAGCAAGAACCAGAAGTAATGAAAGAGCTTGATCAGAGACTAAAATGACTGAACTCTCTCACAACTGATGACAAATAACAGTTTCTTGTATCAGAAGTAATGAAAGAACCAGAAAGGATATGAAATTTATACTCTTGTTGTCATTGCCAAGGACAAGGTAAAATGTAAATTTTGTAGCCCTTACGCAGTTTTAAACAGTTCAATCTACTTTGCTAATGAGAAATCAGTGTTGAGTTTTGATTCCATATTGATGCACACTGTTCGACAGGGATTTTCCATTAAGACTATTACAAAGATTTGAAAGAATGTTATATGACGCATTATTCAAGCATAATCAACGCAATCCAACGAATAATAAATTTATATTAGTCCCATTTCTTCTTATCCCGTGGTCTACAAAAATAGCAATGAACCGGAAATAGGAGTAGACCCTCTGGTTTCGGTTCTTTCGAGCAAAAGAGTAAGGGAAGAGAATTAGAAACCTCCCTATAGTTATTTTTCATCACCATCCTATTCTTCTGCTGTTGGAGATTCTGAAACCGAGTCATCAACAGCCAAATCAGACATTTCACCAGAGGGTGCTGTCACCTCGCCTTCCGGCGGCGGTGTCTCAGATAAATCATCCAAAACTTTTTCATTTCCTGCTGCTACCTGCTTCTGTAGGCTCCAGTACATGATGCTGGCAGTCAAAGTAAGCATCATTTTCTGGTTCACCTGTTAATGACTCGGATGATATTGTCAATAATTTGAAATCGGAGAAGATATAGAGAAGGGATTACATTGAATATTCGAATTTCTGAAATATATACCTGCATAACATCCTCAGGTAACAAGAAAATGGAACATCCAAGTTTCCGCGCGACACTGATTATATAAGTTGCATTCATCTTCTTTTCTTCATCTGCAAGTCAATGACCATAAAACAACACCCCTCTTTATTGATATAACATAAAGCACAGCCATGGCAGGCTATTTATATTGCAGAAGTTCCATATAACACAAGGAAAATGACACATTAATGTAATAATGGAATAACACCATACCATTTCTTCCCTTGGTAACCAGACCCCAGTTAACGACCCTCGGTTCCACTGCACTAAGAAGCTCGAGGAAGAATATGCCAGTCGAAAGGCTTTTATCCTAAGAGCAATAGTCCAGTAAAACCCAGTGTGTTACAATCAGAATATTAAGACATGGATTTCGCTTTGTTGCTTATGTACTACCTTGAAGCTCTCCATTTGAGATTTTCGACCTGCCTGATTTACTGTTCTGTTAGCCCAGTTCAGAATGTCGGCATCCGTAATTTCTTTAGCTCTCAAGTTTTTAAGGAGTTGTAGCATAGAAAACCTCATCAGTTGCCACAGAAATGCTGAAAGTGAGGTAAGCAAAACAAGGAAAATGAGAATATTAACGTTCTCTTACAGAAGAAAATAACAGCCTTAACTTTAACAAAGAGGAGGATGGGAGCCGGAAGATATTACCTAGTATAAGTTTCTTGTTTCCGGCCACAATATCGTTGCCAGCTACATTGACGAGTGATAAGTTCAACTCCTTGCCAATCTGTACTATTTGATTGCAATTCTCTACCTGTTTAAATGGCATCTTTATAGGAGGCTTATTCGCAAGCTTCCAGTTAACCGATCCAGGGTATATTTTCTCCATAACCTCCAACAGAGACCATCTGCAGCCACAAAAGGGTGAATACCAAAGAAGATTTAATGACTACTTGATACTTCTGTTAGAAGAGAAAAGAGATCGTTACCCGTTTTTGACATCTTCATAAACATTGTTGACATGCGAATCAATACCAAGACTGTTCATCCAAAAGCGGAAGCATCTCTCCTCGCGTGATGTTTCTGGATCATCAGTCATCATCTCAGCAAAAGTTGACGTCTTGCTGTCGGTTGATAAGCCATTCCTGCAGGAGAAAATCATATGCTAGTTAAATACTTCATACAATCATGTGTCCCCAAGGGAACACGCCACTGCATATAAGAAATAAACCAGACAATATACATCATGAGATCACCAGGTAATATTAGAAAACGTAGTTTCGAAAATGAAAATGAACAGAGACAAGCTATTAAGCTAATATAAATGATAATGGAATCGTAGTTCAGACATAAGGAAAAGAAAACACTATTTCTCACCTGTGCTGGAATATTTGTGCAACAAATGCAAGATTGAGATTTGCAGAACCCTCAACAATATCAGTAGGAGTGAGATATCTTTTGCAATCCAATTTTTCTGCTATCTCAAGAACTTTGTTTGCTCTTTCTGTTGGATCCTCCGTCTCCAAAGTATCACGCGTACTATGTTCGGGAGCAAGTGCATTAAGCAGATGTGCATATACCTCTCCATCCTGCAAATAAATAGGTTTATGATATACATCATTCACATTAGAAAACGGAAAATGGTATAGACAGGCAAATCCTTTTCCATAGGAGGAGCTCTAAAGTTTAAGAGACTGAGACGTGTAAACACCCTGCATTTGTTTCACCAGTTCATGGAACTTAAGGCCGAAATCTAAAGATTAATACAACACTGAAAACCATGATTATAAACACATTTTTGTATATAACTTTGACATTCCACAAGTAGGATTAATCAAAATCAGTGAGTTTTCCCACCTTCAAATCTGTAGAGAAGTTTGTAACTTGCTTTTGATATCCAGCTTTCTTCAAATGGAAATTCATCCATTTCAGTAACACCTTTTCAGGTCCTAAACTCATAAGCTCCTCCACCTCCTACAAAATTTATACAAAAAGGTTAACAGAATCTGTTTCCAACCTGAAAAACAAACTTTATCCGGAATCTGATATCGGCACAAAGAAGGAATAACCAATTAACATGCTCCAACCTGGCTGCTATCCACCAGTTCCACAAGTTGTGGAGTTTTCTTCAGATTGAGATCAGCTAGTAGTTGAATCTGAAAGTCACAACCATGTAAACAATAATAGCAATGTAACGACAAAAATGTATCCCTTGAAACATTGATGGTTTAAGGAAAGAGATACGATTAGTATGGTTTTTGTGATTCGACAATAACAACTACAAATATTAAATGAGTTTAAAGGAAGTTTCAGCTGAATACCTTGATAATTTGAGAAATCAATCCAAGTACCAGATGAGGCTAGGGGGAAGAAGATTGGATAAGTTAAATTATTGTACAAGTTATAGTAAAAAGCAAGTATGACACCTAAATCGGTGCTTGAAAACAAGCATCACTTACTCTTCCTTCGACAAGGTCTTGTGTGCCGATATTAACCACAGTGCAACCAATAGCTTTTGCAGAATTAAGGCAAAGTGTATGATTCTCATTCCTCTCCCAGGGATTGAGAACCTTTTTTGTGTTAATAGCTCGCTCGTCTATAGTCCCGGGAACAGCTATGTTGATAAGCTTGCTGCATGAAAGCAACTAAAAACGTCAACAAACATCAAATCGAGATTCAATAAGGCCAAAAGCAAAGTCTAAGTAGGTCCAGTGAACCAACCAAAGAAGAACTCCATCTTTAGCAAGCTCAAATAAAGCGTCTGTGGCTGGATTAATTGGAAGAAAATCTTTCAAGAATTTATCTTCTGCCAGATAGTTATTGATATGTTTCACATAAGAAGCCTTCTCAGATTCATTAATAGCATGGTGAAAAGTAGTCGTTGTTGACTTGATAAATGAAGATCGAGTACTGCCTGATTTTTCGATTGCACGACCTTGCAAAGTTAAATAAGCCTGCCAATTCACAAAATCCAAACATTGCCTCTAAGCATGATACGAGGAGAGAATCGTATGATCGTATCACAAACATCAGGAATCATTAATTCACAGCATTTCATGTATTGAATTATTAGCAATTGCATACAGGAAAAGCACTTAGATGCTATGTTGAAAAGACTTACCCGAAGAAAGGCCTCGAAATCGATATCTTCACCCATGTCACTGTGTGCCTCTTCCAAGATAATCTTGATCTCATCCTCACTGAACATTTCACTGAAAGCTTTCAAACTGGCCAAAACTGGTGGCAGCTCGGCCAGAGTAACACGACCTTGTTGAGTCCTCGCAGAGAAAAACTAAATGCAACAAAAAAAAAAAACAATCCAAGTTCCATGTCAAACAAAGATTCCTAATACACCATATAATCTTGTAATATAAGGTAACCTGCAATTGTTATTGCAAACAAAAAAATGGTACTTCGAAGAATTAGGAATCAAAATTGTAATCTTTTAGAACAGGATGCATTATTTCACTTTCATAGAAACCAATTATGAAAAGAATTAAAGAAGAAGATGAAGACGAAAGGACAAGAAAATGTTACCTTGGATTTGAGGGTTCGTAGCTCGACTTGAGTGAACTGGCTTTGAAGCCATTGATCAGAAACAAGCACACCTTGATAACTAGACATGGTTTGCCTTGTTTTTTTTACACCAAATTTTAACCCCTATTCACACACTCAATCAAATATTATTTACGTTCAGATTGCATACCATTTAAAAAGCCAATGAAAATTCAACGAAACAAAAGATCCAACAAATGCAGAAATAAAAAGAAATCCGATAGGAAACATGTAAAAAAACTGACGTGCATGCATACATATAATTGAATAGGAAAAATCAAAAAACAACCTTTCTATATGAAAAAGGACATCATATTTGTCGAAACAGAAAACGACCCATGTAAGAATGTGAAAGACAGAAGAAGAAGAAGAAGAAGAACCTTAAGAGAAACAGAGAGAAGAAAGAGAAACTACGATAGAAGGGTGGTTTCCTCCATTTTTTTTGTCTTTGTTCGGTTTTTCCGTAGGATTGAGAAAGAGAAATGATTGTTTGGGTGATATTGGAAATGAGGATGAGAGAAAAGCGTGATGCGCCCTTAGTCCTCCGATAACCCGCGAACACTGCCGATTGCAAATGTGAATATGACCGAGTGAAAGAGAGAGAAGAGAACGAGAAAATGGATTTACCTAAATTAAATTAAAGCTCATGAATTTTCTTTAAATAAATGAGTTTTTTCGCCATTAAGTTAGCTGTTTATCAAATGCATAAAACAGACAATTGATAATTACACAAATGGTTCCTATTAAAAATTATAAAATAATCATTCGATTATAAGATGTTATTTTATCGAATTTTTCGATTATTAAAAGTTACAAATGGTCTCTCGACTATTTTTTATGTTCCAAACACATCATTTTTTGTTTAAAAATTGATGATCGTTTGAATTGGACGTTAATCTATCGGTTTAGATATAATAAAATTTAATCCTAAAACTGTTTGAGTTGTATTTTGTGGATCAACTCTTTATTTAAATTATGTTATCAAGCAAGTTCTTGAAACATTATGTCATCATTATCATATCTCAGTCACCAGATTAAAGTCCAACTAAATCTCATTGTAGATTAAGAAAATCTGGCACTTTTAAAAAATTAAGCTTTAATATAATATTTTTACTTCTGTAAAATATTTTTCTCAATATATATATACTGTTATTTAATTTTATTCGCTATTATAAATAGTAAAAAAAATGTTAAAATTGTGAAATAACTTTAAAATGCTACATAAAATATAACATTTTTCCTCTTCTTTCTTCCTTCTTTTTTCTTTACAATTTATTTTAATTTTATTGATTAATCTATTTTTTTTCTTTAATTTTGTTTAATCGCCGATGACACTAATTTTAATATTGGTTGTCGTTCAGCGGTTAATTTTTTTTATTTTTTAGTTTATTAATAAGAATATTTATGTCTTTGTGACATGTTTCTTTACCTTTATGACACGTTTATCTCTGTCTTTGTGCCAAATTTTTCTTTGTCTTTTGGTAACTTACGGTTTTTTGTCATTGTTTTCGTTTATCTTTTTTCTCAGAGTTGAATTTGACATCACCACGATCGATCAAGATAGCCCTTATCTGTTATCATAATGATCTTACATACTTTGGACTCTCAGATTGATTTGAATACATGTTTTGCATTCGTTGATAGTTTTTTCACGTCGCTTAACTCTGATTTACGATTTTTCGATGGCCTTCAATAGCTTCATTCCTTTTTGTGATTCGTTTGCTGATGCAGTCAGATTTGTTCGTATATATATTTTGTTATAGCTTTTTGGTTAGATTTTTTTAATATTTTCCTTATTTAGTCCTTGTGATCCAGGTGACTAGTTTTTGTGTCAATAGTTATAGGAAAATATTATAATTATAATTTTGTTTACGTTTAGATTTTAGTTGTAAATCTTAATTGTAATTCTGTATATTTTTTTATTTTTAATTAAATTAGTGGTTTTTGTCAAAAAAAATAGTCTTTTTATTTATTTGAAAAAAAATAATTATTTATAAGTTTTAATATAATCATGCATACTAACATAATGGAACTTGATAAACTCAATTTAACACAATCTTAATAACATACAAAAAAAATGGTTTTGAAAAACGAAATAAATCGAGAACCTCAGTCCATGAACATAAATTACACCCAATGAAGTCTTAATCTTAGAAATGCAGGACCAAACCACCAGGATTGCCAAAACCAGCTGACTCTAAATGCTCAAGCTCAGCCCCATAAGCCTAGTTGAGGACGAGTTCGAAGGCAAAGACTTCGAGGAAGAACCGCCTTCTTTTGAATCTGCCGACGGAGCATCCGCTGTAGGGCTAATATCAGGAGCAGGAGCTGGTGCTGGCATAGGAGGTATATAAGTACCGAAGATAGCCTCGGGAAGGACCTTATCAACCTGATATATCGTGACGGGATCGGTCGAATGTACGGCGCTGGTGACTTTCGTTCTGCTCCACCCTGAATCGAGGTGCACGGTGCCGGAATCATAGGTGAAATTCAATGTGTATTGGCCACCAGCAAGTGTACTGACAGGGATTTTAGTACTGAGCTCATTGAAGTCGGCAAGGGCGTAGTACTTGGGCAGGGCATGGAAAAGGATGAGTGATTTAAGCCGGTCATTGCTAAGATTGGACAATGATGGCTTCTTAAGACCCTTGAATGAACTGTCTTTGGGTACGAAAATCGTAATGCCTTGTTCAGTGTTGTTGGCTTGGTTTTGGAAGGTGTCAATGAGTTTTGTTTATTCGAGGTAATTAAGGAATGTGTGAAACGGACCTGCCACGGAGAGCAGATAAGTGAGGTTTACATATCCCGGTGTCGGAGTTGGGGTCATTGCAACCGGAGCTGGAGGACTAGCTTTTTTGCCCATATGTGAAAGAGGATCAAAGGAGCAATGCAGAACAAATAATCACAAAAGTCACCCAGCAAAAATTAGATCTTGACTAACTCACCCAGCAAAGCAGATAATAAGGAAAACAAGAGAGCATGATACAGGATCTATAACAGTGCATTTACAGATGATGGCATTGAAATGTAAAGATCAATTGCAAAAAAAGAAAAGAAAATAACTAAAAAATATGAACCATTTTTCAGTTCATGAGCTAACCAAATTCCCAAATCATCAAATTTCAGAAGAAAACCCCAGATCGAATCTAATATTCACTTTGCATTTGACTTCAAACCGGGAGTTCCCAGAAAAGCCAAGCAATTCCCTCAACAACCAAAAAAGAAGAAAAAAGAAGGAAGGAAAGGAAACTGCAGTATCACAATGTACGTCCATAAAACGCCAAACACAGAAAAGATCTAGATTTAACTTGAATCTTGAACCAACATGAAAGAATGCAGCTTTAAAAACAATCAAATTTGAATGAAATTGCAGACAAATGAAGGACAAGAACCTGACTAAAGAGGGATTCAGAGAGAAAGCCCGGACCTTTGGAATCCGGCTGGCAATTCTGCAGATTGGAACAAGCTGAGAGAAACTGTATAAAGAGGAGAGTTTTTGCTTGCAAAACATACAAATTAGAAAGAAGAAGACAAAGCGAACGTGGGCCTATGGCAATGGTAAATTGGTAATGCCATGCATAAGCTATGCTATTTAAATGGGGTTTACTAGTCGTGTAGGCCTCATTTGGTATCGCTTTGGTATACCTTTCGTTAATAGAGTATGTTCGTTTGTAAAGATGATATTAAATGGGTACAAAATTTTAATTTTTTTAATTAAAGTTGTGTTTTGGTAATCTAAATTAAAAATTTACAAAATTAGAGCAAAGAAAAATCACATTGTTTCAAGAGTGCGTATTAGGGATGGTTATAAGTTGGGCCAAATCAAATTTTTGATTCATTTGAATTTGATTCAAATATAACACAGCTTTATCTATCAAGCTGTCACCCAACTCGAGTATAAAACAGTTCCACCCAATATAAAATCTAACACAACCTAATTTGACGTATAAATATATACATTCTTATTTTTATTAGATAAAATAATGAACAATCATCTATAAATTATAAAGGTTAATTATATTATTGTTTTCAAGTTGTGTTGATTAGGTATTTTTCATCATAAATCTGAATTTGATCCGATCTTATTCTTCAAAGAATTCAACTTAATTGGATCTGAACTCGAAATATTAAAAAAAATCTTGTTAAATAGATTCATACATAAATTTATCAAGTTCGGATCAAATATCGATCCCTAATATAGGGAATGAGAATGGAATTAAAAGGAAATTAATTTATTTTCTAGTAAACACATATATTAATAACATAAATTTTTTAAATAAGATAGCTACAAATAAAATTTTAGGGTGGGTATCGTCCGTAAAATCAATAACTAATCGAAGAAAACTCAGATTTTAGGGAGGGCACGAAAAATTTCAAGGCGGGCACTATCAATAAAATAAGTAATTAATCTAGGAAAATTTGGATTTTAGGGTGGGCACGTAGCTGTGGCTCCGCGATTGTCTCAATGATTAAAGAGAGATTTATTCATTGTCAAATGGTCGAAAGTTTCCAGAACAGATAATATCACTTATAATCGCTTATATTAATAAAAAAAAAAGTTGAACCTTAGCATTTGTAATGTTACCAAAGAGAGAAACAATGATAATGGAGGAAATGCATGAATTCATGGAAGCTTCTATGAAAATTTAGTTGGTGGATGGAGGGGAGAAGTTGAGAGGTAAGCATCGAAATTGGCTGTCATTGCCCTTTCAAGCTGATCACTTGCTTAAATATTTCCGACCTTTGACTCTCGCGTACCGTCGCTACCGTCTGTCCCGTCCCGTCATGATCGTGGTGGTGATAATACGTGTCTTCGATACGTCCGCGCGTATACTATCTTTTTAGAAAAAATTCTTAAAAAACAAATGCATTGCGATTTTGGACTATCGCGTTACGAATCTTAAAATCGTGTTGCGATTTGGACTATCGCGTTGTAAATTTGGAACATGGGTTGCGAAATTTGAATTCACGTTACGAATTTAAGATCGCGTTGCGAATTTATTGGTCATTTTGACAAATCAAAAAAAAAATAATTAAAATTATATATTATAAGACATTTTCGATTGCAGAAGGTAATTTCTCATTTTTTAAGATAAAAACTCATATTTAGTCAGATTATATCATCTTTATTTTAAGGTCACCCGTGGACTGAAAACCTTTAGTCAAACGCGGCCCAAGTTTCGATTTAGCGATTTCAATATTCATGATGGGATTGATTGACCAGTGGTTAATTTATGTACTTTTTCATGGCAATTAGTATTGACCATGAATTTAATTTCTGTACTTTTGACTTTTACTCCATTATCAATGGCACAAACATTGTGAGCAACACTTTGATGATACCGAAGAATTGAAGAAAAAAACATCTAGACTTGTCTCAAAGAACAATAAAGGATATATGGTTAAGATAATCGGGAAACTAGCAGTTAAAACAAAAATTGTCTGCAAGTGAGACGTGTTTAAAATCAATAGCTGAGAAATATAACGGCATAAGAGCATCGATCATCATCGAGTTGTGTCCTTAATCATTCGAGGCCCAGTCTTTACGGATGTCGAATGTATAGTTGATCTCCAAGTGGCACTTGTTGTAATCGTCAATGAACTGGCAAGAACAGTGTCATCAAACCATGTAACAGAACACAACATATGCATGTCTGTAATAAAACTCGGTTTGATTTTCAAACCTTCGATTTTGCAGTGTATGATCCTCTAGCCATAAACCCAGAAGGGGCGGTTTCTTCTGGCATTTCATGTGTGTAAGGCTCCGGCTGAGGACTAAAAGTTCCGATCATGTCTTTTGTGCTGAAAACTGAAGAACAGATTCATTTTAGGAAGATTTTTTTTGGGGGGGGGGGAGGATGAAGAGGCTAGCTTACCCCTGAGACCTGATTTCCATACGGTGTTGGTGTACCTGAGACCAGATAAGATGTTGTTGCCGACTTGGAAGGAGAATTTCAATCGATAATGGCTATCTTCTTTGAGTGTAAACCACAAGCGCTGTCGATTTCCATCTTCTGGGATCGAAAGGACTATGTCCGGCCTCTCCGGTGATACGATCGCCACGCTGATAAACTTCACTACAGGATCAAGTGTTTCTGCTGGGAAACAAATGCATATTCAATTCTATCCATTTTTATCCATTTTAATGCATATATTTTGTATTAAACCGGTACCTCCAATGTTGTTAATATCCACACCTCCAAGAAGCTGTTCTTTCCACTTCCTTAAGCTCTCATCATCCTACAAAGGACGGATTCAATGCATTCAAATACAAGTCGGTAAAAATCCATTGGAGACAATGACGATGTTACCTTGTCTTTTTCAAGCTGTTCTTTGAGAGTGCGCTGAGGACCCAAGTGAAGCTTGCTTTCATCGTGGTGATCATCGTCCTGATCGGTGGTGTAGAAAGAGGACTCACCGTCGCTTTCTTGAAGACCATCCTTGTCCTTGTTGTCATCGACTAACCCCATATTCCCAAAGTGCAAAAACGAATCAAACTCATCAACAGTGGAGATTCAAATTCGACCCTTTATTTATTGCGAGACAAAAGTGGAGAATTGGAAGTGGCAGTGGTTGCTTGAGAACAGTAGAAGGGAACAAAGGTATAGGAACTGTGTTTGGGATAACGGTCGTTTGTCTGGTGGCTGGGGATGTTGAGAAACTCAAAATGGAGGAGAGGGAAAGCCGCAAAGAGAGTAGGGCGTTGAGTCCTGAAATGGTAAAAATTCCAATGGAACGCGGTCATGTGGCGATCCGAACCTCGAGAGTTATAAATTTACACACTAATATGAAAATACAATATTATTAAATTATTATATGCTACTGCATTTAGTCGCTTGCAATCGAATATGTGGTGGTTTGATCTGTAATCTTTGGAGTAATAATGATCTTTTCATTTATGATTCGTGATTAAAGAGATTGAGGGAATAATTAGTAGCATACATTAAGGAAGACTTGTGCGGGCGAAATCTTCAAGAATTTGGACGATATTGAAATTGATTATATTGAAGATGGGATTTGATTTTGTAGCGATCAGTGCGCATGTTTTTTCTACGAGAGAAACACTTTTTTAAAATTTAAATGATTATAAAATAATATATGTTTAAATAATTTTAACACAATATATTAAGTATTAGTAGGAGAAAGATTTCGTGTTAAAATAATGCAAGATATCGCAGATTGGAATTTAAATTGTTAAAGAGTTGATATATCAATGAGTTGTATACCAACTAGGTTGATTGGTTCACTAGCCGAGAAGTTAGCCCTTATTTATCGTGTTAGTAGTTTGGGCTTTAATTATTTTGTATCTAACTTTAGTCTTTGTATATTTGTAAGTTTAAGTTAGACCTAGCAAATTTGATCCGAACACGATTATCTGAATTGATTTATCCAAATTGAGATCTGATATAGACCTGGATATGATAACCAAAATTGATCCAAAACCCGAAATAAATCAAATCGAACTGAAATCGACCCGAATTATAGTTTAACTGAAATCAATATGAACCGAAAGCAACTTGAACCGAAATCAATCCGAACTTAAAAAATTCAAACCAAAAATAACCCGACCCGAAAGCAATCCAAATTTAATTTACCCATATCCGAACCGAACCAAACTTTGTCCCGATTTTAACTCAATAATTGAGTGTCAAAAAACAAATAATTTATTTATTTATTATTATTATTATTATTATCTATTTTTAATAATTAGATAGATAATAGAATGATATTTTTTTATTCTCATTTTATATTGTACAATTAGTTCATCACCATATTTAGTAATAGTTTAATAGTTCAATATAATCTTTACTATGTTAAAAGACTATCTATATCAAATAACTTCTAAATCAATCTTGAAATTTATTATGATTTATAAAGTTTTTTTTATACTTCAAAATATTCTAATTTGATTTAATTCATTTAAACTAAAGCTTTTAACCCCGAATCTGGATGTGACAATATATAATCATATAAATTTTCTGAATTTCAAGTTATAAAGAGTAGCAGCGATGATTACAACGACAAAGAGTGAAGATGGCTGACTTCAATAAAAACAACCAGAATTAACTCGAAAATCTAAAGGTTGATCTGAACCAAAACCAACCCGAATTGACCCGAAAATCTACAGGTTGATCCGAACCGAAACAAACCCGAATTGTCCCGAAAATCTAAAGCTTGACCTGAACCAAAACCAATCGAACCGATATTGATCCGACTCGAAACCAACCGCTTTGAGATTAATCGACCTGAACACCAACCGATCCGATTTTGACCCGACCTGAAAATCAACGGATCCAATTTGACCCGACCCGAATTGATTTTCCATTGACTTGAACCTAGTATGACCCGAACCGAATCGAATCCAAACCAGATGCAATCCTAACCCAAAATAACTCGATCCGAAATGACATGACTCGAACCTGATCCAAATGACCCGATTGCCACCTCTAGTTCGAGTCCTTGTATATCTAGTTAGATTTGTAAACTTTGAAGTATTGTTTGATGAATTATACATCTGCTTCATATTTAATAGACAAAAAAGAGTGAATTTTAAATTTTGGAATAATCATCAACGATAGTGATTGTCGACACCGTTTTTCGCCCGGGCTGGGAAAGACCGATATTGATTCGGGGTTTTCTCTTTGAAAATCATTTCGAATGTGAGGAGTCGCCACCAATCATTTAAGGTGAGATTGGAACACCATAAAAAACTGGGTGATTTTAATAAAATATTTTATTCTAATAAAATACCAAGTTTTGGGGTCTGCAAAAATCCAAAAATCAGGTTTGTGAGTCGGTTACGCGTGGGGAAGGATTAGCACCCCTACAAGCGCCCATAAATTGGTACCTAGTTGGTTACCCTATATTTAAAATTGGAAATTTTGAATTCAATCTTTATTTAACTTAAAATCATTAAGGATACAGAGTTTGAAAAGGATATTCGTTTATTGAGACCGATAGCATTCGCCCCCGAGCGTAAATGCGGGAGATCAGCTATTGTGTCTAATAACCGAACATTACCTCATTTTTTTTAAACATGATGTGGTTTTTAAAAGGATGTCGACTTATTTAGGGAATTACCAGTAGTCACCCCCTGAGCATGATCGCGGGAGATATACTATTAATTCCTTAATAAGTGAACAGTGCCTTAGATTTATAAAAATAATGCGTTCAAGCAAAATTTTATTTAATCCTAATTATACTAAAATTTAATTAAGGCTCTTTTCTAACCTACGGTGTCAAATTATGAGAATTAAAGAACCTAGGGGGCTCAAATCTAAAAATGTAGGCTCTAGTATTAATCCTGTTTGATTTTAAATAATTATTAAATCGAATAACCGAGATGGTCCCTCGAGCGTTTACGCGAGGGCCAACTCGAATTATCCCCTAAATTAAAAGAATACTTTGAAATCTAAGCTAAAATGGAAGCTCTATTTAACCTATTTAATTATGTCAATATTTAAAGTCTAAACGTAGTTCGGGGAATAAACATGTCAAAGAATTAAAATATCGGATCTAAAAGATTTAAAAGTCTAAGGTTATTTTTAAACAGAATAAAATATGATACATTGATATATTTAAAAAATAAATACACACATTAAGGTTAATTTTAACTTTGTTTTACTTTATAAATAGATACATATTTTCTAAATATGATATTAAACATATGACATAATATTTATTCTAAAATATAATGAAAATATAAAATATAATATTTATCGTGCTCTACATACAATATTATGTATATAATAAAATAATATATAATAATATAAGTAAAATAAATACCTAAAACATAAAACATACTTTAATAGTACAAATAAACAATATACATATATATTCATTAATATCTTAGTGACAAAAATGAGTGAAAAATAATTTTAAATTATAAACATTAATAAAAATAAATATCATGGCATGAAACAAGAAAATCACATAACAGGAGCACTAGAATCGTAATAAAATAATAAATATAGGACTAAAATGGAATAACATAAACATCAGTACCCCATTTCGAACACAAATAATACATACAATAGTGGACTAAATTAAAATAATACAAGACAAAGTAGCCAATTCGTAAATCATGTAAAATAAAAGAAAATGGTGACCAAAACACAAAAAACGCTAAACTTGAAGGGACCTAAGGCACGATTAACCATAAAATGACTAAAACGCATATCACATTAAACTTAAAGGACCAATAAAGTGATTTAACCTAAAATTAATGATCTAAATGCAAAACACGCTAAAACTATGAGGACATATTATGATATTCACCCTAACACTTAAACTAAAACATGAAACATATTAAAAATGGATGACTTGACACGTGATTAACCCAAAACCCAAAATAACTTTACTTTTTCCCCTCCCAGAATCATTTCTGCGCATTGGTTTTCATTTTCCTCTCCCCTTCTCTTTATTATTTCTCTCAACTTTCTCTCTCTTTTTCTATTTCATTTTTACTTCATGGAATAAACGATCAGTGGCCATGAACCACCATGGCCACCACTGCGAACTGCCCCGATCGACACTCTTCTAAGGTAATAATCTACTCACTCTCTTTCCTTCTTATTGTACATGCAAAGCTTCAAAAAAAATATTAGATTCGAAACTAAAAAAATATTCAAAATACCTTGGAATAATCTGATTTTTATTTCTTTTCCCTCTGATTCTAAATTATTTTAGTATTTTTTCGTAATAGCATAGAGTAAAAAAAATCAGTATTTGAATACGAAAATAAAAAATTTACCCTTAAAATGCTTGTATTTCTCTGGAAAAATCGGATAGAAAATTCCCCCTCTTTTTTTTGATTACATGCGTTTGGCTTTTATAGCCAGATTTACAATGATTTTCAGTTGGTTATGCCTTGATTCTCGCAGGGAACAAGGGATGATGGGGTTGGTTTTGAAAAAAATGTGATGGTGGGTGTTGGTGTTGAAAAAAAATGGGGTGGTAGGTGTTGGTGTTGAAAAATGGTGTTTACAACTGCCCCTCTTTGCTCATTGCTGTAGAACGGGAATGGAGCAAAGATATAAAGCATCATTTTTCATTTGTTTGGTCCATCAGTGAAATTTTGAGTTCCAATTTCTCTTGATCGGACGAGTTCTTCTCATTATAAACTCTTCGTTGGAGATGTCAATCCACTTCCTTATGTGATGAATTAAAATGGCGATTCAGCTCCTCATGTGATAGATTAAGGTGTCGATCCACCTCTTTCTGTAATGGATTTAAAATGTCGATCCATCTCCTTCTATGATGGAATCGAACGAGATGTCGCTTTTGATCTACCTCCTTCTGTGATAGAATCGAGCAAAAAGTTGACGCTGATCCAACTCCTTCTACGATGGATTTGAGCAAAAATAAAAATGTCGATTCACCTCCTTTTGTGATGGAATCGAACGAGATGTTGATGCTGATATACCTCCTTCTCATTCTGTGATAGAATCGAGCTAAAAGTTGACGCTGA